TCGATCATCAATTAATATAACAATTACTCAAGATTTAAATAATAAATCAATATTAATTATTCGAGCTATAATTAAAGCAAATCAAGATGAAAAATGTGTATTTTCTCTTAAACAATCGAACTAAACTTTTTCTGTAGAAAAATTAATTGTTTTCATTTTGAATAAATTGAAAATCTGGCTGTATGTAAAAGGAGAAATTCAGCAAAAGCAAATAAATACGTTTAAACTGTTTATTATTAAAGTTTTTGATCACAGTTTTCAGTTCCATGAGAAATGTAACTAAAGCCACAATTTGTATTTTTATTTGCTGAAATTGACAATCATTAAATGAACATTGCCCCTGAATAGTACAGAAAATAAAATCGAAAACTTTGATATTGAATGATTTACAAAATATGGTTAGTATTTATTTTTAAAAATTTTCTTTTAAAAATGTCGATCTATAAAAGTAATAATGATGTTAATATAAATCTAAAAGCTGATACATTCAAATTGAAATTATTTACTGCTGTTGTAGCATTCAATGTTTTAAATGAAGTAATAACAGTTTCACTAAGGGATAGACATATTGATGGTATTCGAACAGATGAAGATCAAATACGAGTGACGTATGAAGAACTTGAGTAGGCTATGAATTCAATTGATTCCGATAAATTAAAACAAGTTGCTATGTTATTCATAAATGGACAAAAGATCATTTCGGATATTTATAATCAACAGATATCAAGTGAATTTATATAAATTTTTTTGGCTATTACACGCTATATTATCCCAGTTCAAATTAAAAGTAAAATAAAAATAAAGTTAATCTATCTTTATTGACACAAGAAAAATAAATTCTTCATTCTCTTATTATTATGTTCATTTTAATTTAGAAGAGAGTTTAATTTGTATCAGAGTCTCATCTTTATTATTTTATCAAATTAATTTTTGAAGATAGTCACATCATATTATTAGTTTTCATTATTGAATATTTTAAATTACTCGTCGAAAATATTATTTCATTTCTATTTCTTTTTTGTAATAAGGTAATTCTTTACTTTTTAAATTAATTTTGAAAAAAGAACACCAATAGACTACAATCAAAATAACAATATCAACACATTTTTCTATTCAAACTTCACATTTTCGATTGAGAAAATTCCTTGATAATACCAGTTTTCGATGCACAGTTGAATTATGCATCCAGTACAACCAATTAGAGAGCCAGCACAGCTTTGTGAGCAAATGTCAGCAAGGAATATTCGAATCTTCTGCTAACTTTTCTTACATTATTCAGTGCCATTAAATTATGCTCTTTATGTTTTTCTTAGGTTTTAGTCGATGGTCATTAAATATGAGATAATAAAAAACATTTGAATCGTGAA